CAATCTTCAAGAAATCAAAAGACTTGGACATTTAGACATCTAAAGAATCAGGGAAAGCTATGCAGAGGAGAATTACCAAGCAAAGAAAAGTCCGATCTATGGTACCAATATTCTCTGCAGAGAAAAGTCTCACTATCTAAATGTCTATATCTCTTTACTTCTCAGAAATGTTGTCCCAATTCAATTAAAAATCAAGGCTGACTTTGGAGTTGGAGCACGGCTCTCTCCTTCTCAAAATCAAAGTGTGTTGTTAGAAGAAAAATTCAGAGTTTCTGTCTCATATCAGAAAAGCCATCAGGTGTGGGACAGAAGAAAACCAAAAATCTAGGAACTATTGTTGTCAAAACTCTGTTATCTCCCCAAAGTTCTATTTCTCCTTACTTATATTTGACCCTTTAGTACATTTCTTTGGAGAAATATCTATCTTAAAATTTAAACTTTCTGTTTTGATATTAATAATGTTTAAGTTTTCCACAATGAACCAAAAATTTCTCTAACAGCAATCCCTGAAGTCTCCAGAAGGAAGATGGGACCCCACAACAATTCTACCTGGTTCATAATGATGCCATCGAGCCAACAAACATCACTCAAAGATCCTAGACTGGGAATATAGCCTAGAAAATAAAAGCAGGGCTGTGGACAGTTACTCATACATATGTGTACAAGACAGCACTATTCTTAATCCCCAAGATGTAGAAACAACTTAAGTATATATTGACAGACTTATAGGTAAAATAAATAGATGATAGATAGATAAATATATGATGGATATATAAATAGATAGGAAGATATAAATGATGGATAGATAGATGTAGAGTATAAATTCAGTAGAATATTATTACATTTTTAATATATTTACCTTACTTTTAATTATTTGGAAATGTCTGTGTGTCTATGTGTCTGCACGTATGACCTTGTCTGTGTCTCTCAACAATTCAATAACTTTCTGAGGTCCTGGAAGATTTCTCACACCACTGGCATCCCCTGCACTTCACAGGGACAAACCATTGTGGAGAGGATCAGGAGAGCTCTTAAGGAACTGTTGACCAGACTCTCTCACCAGAGGCTAGGAGAGATCCTCATCTGTCCTTAACACAAGTCATTTTCCACATGATGACTTTCTCATTTTTGATGACAAGGGGCTCAACCCGGCCTTCCAGCACCGGGCATCTCTGCCAAGGAACACACCCCTGTCCCTGGTGAGATGGAGAGATCCTATGTCCCTCCAGTGGAAGTTGCCAGCCCCCTGCTAACCTGTGGGCAAAGGATAAGTTTGCGGTTTTTTTTCTCAGACTGCCATGACACCAGTATGGGTCCCTATAAGAGATGTAGATCCAGCCATGGATCAGCCTGCTTACACCAAGGAGGGAATAACCCAGGATGGGTAATATATATGCTCCCCTTTCTTGCTCTTACTGCCTGCCCACCCAACAAATTGATTTATTAAGGGCAGAAGTTATGACCTTTGACTCTTCATTTTAAAAAAGTTTAGCATAGGGGCTGGATGGATGGCTCAGAGGTTAAGAGCATTGCCTGTTCTTCCAAAGGTCCTGTGTTCAATTCCCAGCAACCACATGGTGGCTCACAACCATCTGTAATGAGGTCTGGTGCCCTCTTCTGACCTGCAGGCATACACACAGACAGAATACTGTATACATAATAAATAAATAAATCTTAAAAAAAGTTTAGCATAATATAAAAAGACTGTTCGATTCCTCCTGGATGCTCACATGTGCATTAATTGGCAGGGTGATATTATGAGTGGAGCAGCGGCAGCCAGGAGAGCAGAAAGTGCGCAGACCGGAAGAAGGCACCGGAAGTGTCAAGAGGTCTTTTTTCATAAAGAGTGTGACCACCAAAGACAAAGATGCTGCTGTTTGTTCCAAGGCACAAGTGGCAATATGAAAATTCCAGAAATATGGGACAGGAACAGCAGTTAAGAGCACATACTACTCTTGTGGAGAAGCGGGGTTGGATGCCAGAACTCCACATCCAGCAACTCCCCAGCTCCTAAGATTTCCAGCCCCAACAGCTCTGAAACCTCTGCCTTCTGCAGGCACCGCACTCAAATGTGCCCCACATTCATATGTGTGATTAAAAAAACAAATGTAAATCTTTTCAAATATTCTGGATATTGGGAAAATAGAATGGACAAAGGAGGTTGGATCTGAGCAGTGCACATGGGGAAATACTATGTCTAATCCTCTAATATGTAAATCACTACATACTACTAAAATTCTTTTTAAATTCTTAATCAAAAGGTTTGTCGTGACTAACCAAAATCAAATCACTCAGGGCGGTGGCTAGGGTAAGTTTCCATGCACCTCTTAAGTGGTTACAAAATGGGCGCATACACCCTAGTGAATCTGTCGGTAATACAAATGAATGTTTTTTCAAAATCTTGTATCACAAGTGTCATTCCATTGAAAAGATATCAGTTTTTCCCACTGAGGAATTTAGAAATAAATATTAAATGTTAATATGCCTGGCATAATTGAGAGAGGCCATTCTTTCTTGCTAAAGTTGTCATGTACTCTTCCCCTTGCAGTAGCCCTAAGAGAACCAAACAAATACAGGCGGTTTCCTCCCCGTGGTCAACAGGTCAGAGTAGAAAGAAAGCATCCAGGACACTGTGTCCTCCCAGGCTGAGTGAGCCAGCACTGGCCAACAAAACCTCTTGTAGCTTAGAGGTTCTGAGATCTCTCTTTGGGAAAAGTCCTGAAAAGGGATCAAAGGAATGAGAGGTGGAGGTGCGGGAGACATCTGCTCAGGGTGACCTCCAGGAATCCTCAGAATGAGACTGAGAGCTGTCTCCTCCTGTCTTTTTTGAAGGGATCAGGACTTTGAGACAGGATTTCTCTGAGAAACAGCCCTAGCTGTCCCGGAACTTCTCTGTAGATCAAGCTGGCCTCGAACGCACAGAAATTTGCCTGCCTCTGCCTCCCAAGCGCTGGGATTAAAGGCATGCGCCATCATTGCCTGGCTCCTCCTGTTTTACATTCCTCTCTAGTGCTGGGATTAAAAGCATGTACCATTACCACCCAGTTTCTATGGCAAACTAGTGTGGTTAGTGGGAATTAAGGTGTGTGTCACCACTGACTGGTCTATAAGGCTGAACAGGGTGGCTGCTTTACTCTTTGCTCTTCAGGCAAGCTTTATTTATTAAAATACAAATGAAAGATCACTACACAGAGTGGCTTCAAAATGTTTTGTAAATGAGCCTTGAAGCTGACAGTATCTTGGCATTTGTGTATTGTTGTGATCCGCTGTTTCTCACCCGCGGTCTCCCACCAGCAAAGAGGACCCGCCAAGGCTTCACCAAGGCTTCGGGTGACCTGTCACTGCTCTGCCAAGGCCTGTGGTGACCCACCACAGCCCCTCCTGAGACTGGCTGCCCCTCGTGGGACCAGACTTCCCCGCCCCATGTCTTTAAAAACGAATAACGTGTATAATCCCATCCCTGGGGAGGCTGAGGCAGGAAGAGCTCAGACCCCCAGTTGGAAACGCCTAGGTCACATAGTAAGTTTGAAGTCAACCTCAACTACTTAGTGAAAGTAATTATTCAAACTCCACCCCAAAATGAGGAGAGGAAAAAATCCTAGAACTGGAACTGTGGCTCAGTGATAAAACATGGACTTTTGCAGTGGGAAACCCTGGGCTGTCTATGCCAGGATTATAATGAGCAGTACTTTTCTGACTTGAGGCTATCTTCCATGAGAAGAGAAAGGCAGAATTAACCCGGAGTTGTGAACAGACAATGGTGACGTCCTCAAAGAGGAAGCAATGGCCTTACTACGGAGGTAACGCTTTGCTCTTGGGTTACGGCAGTCCCTGTTAGCCTCGGGATCTATTCCAAGAACTCAGTGGACGTCTGAAACCTTGAACAATATTCAACCCTATAAAATAGAATGATTTTCCCTTTACATACACATTATGTTAAAGTTTAATGTGTAAATTAGGCATGAGAAGAGGTTAGCAACAATAGTAACATAGAACAATAATAGTAACTTTGTAATGTTATTTAAAACCTCTGAATTATTCATTTCTGGAATTTTCCATCTAATGAGCTTAGACTTAAATTGACTGCAGGAAGATATTTTATAGCATTGTTATTTTTTTACGCATTGTTATTTTTTGAACTGAAATGGAAACTCTCCTTTTTCCTTGTGCTGGAAATGGGAACAAGAGCTTTGGGAATTCCAGACAAGCCTTGTACTCACCTCCGGGCTTCAAGCCTGTTTTCAGCCTAAGTGCTTACAAGTAGCTGGAAAGCAGCCAGTCACAGAGAGATGAACGGCCGAGAAGGAGTTCAGGTTCATGTACAATCTTAGAATTGCCCCTGACTCGTTCTATCTCTCCTCCCGTCTCTGTCTCCACGACACAATGGTCTCAAATTCACAGTCATCCTCCGACCTCAACCTCCCTAATGTGGGATCATGGGCCTAAACTGCCACACCCAGGTCCTTCATTTGCTTCTTAAGAGTGCCATTCAGACTTTCAAGTGAGAGGGGCTCTGAATCAGCTTGGTTTACACAAACCAAGGGACTTCATTAATAGCAACTGCTTCCTGACGAACTGTCTACACTGCTGCAGACGCACGGGTAAACTCAGCTGCAGAGTGAGCGCCTTCCTGGAAACTCAGCAGACATTGGAAGATTGCGGAGTCCCAGCTCTACATGATTTTGCCTAGGATTTAGAAGAAGGGTGCTTTTTGGCTGATTTTATAACGCTAATGTAACTGTAACATTAAAACTAAACAAGCCAGACGGTTGGTGGCGCATGCCTTTAATCTCAGCACTCAGGAGGCAGAGGCAGTCAGATCTCTGTGAGTTCGAGGCCAGCCTTGTCTACAGCCAGGACAGGTTCCAAAGCTACAGAGAAACCCTGTCTCGAAACCTCCCACCAAGAAAATATTTAAA